AACCATTCACACTCACATTCACACAACTACGGGCAATTTAGAGTCACCAATCAACCTGATCCCCAGAGCATGTCTTTGGACTGTGGGAGGAAGCCGGAGAACCCGGAGAGAACCCACGCAGACACGGGGAGAACATGCAGACTCCACACAGAAAGGCCACTGGGTGGAATCGAACCCAGGACCTTCTTGCTGTGAGGCAACGGTGCTAACCACCACACCACCGTGCCGCCCCCGGACTTACGGTATTCATGCTAATTTAAGTGTTTAAACTTGCAAATTGAATAGCCGGGCAAAAAAAAGATCCGTGGTTGTAGAGATGTCTCTGTCAATGTAAACGTCTTCTTGGGCTGCAACCTTTTGGTCATTATGTTTCATAGCCCAGCACTCTGAACTCGACGTCAACACAGGAAGTAATGTCTTTTTTACAGAGCTCGGCAGGAAAGGTGTGACCGATTTCTTATTCCGCGGAACAAGATCGGTACAGGCTGTCAGTAATAAGTAAATGTAGTAGTAATTTCATATCTAGTATGTTTATGTAAAAAACACTTAAAATATAATAATGTCTTTCAGGCCTGATTCGGAGTGAATATTTTGGAGGTGTAAAGGTTCCACAGCACATAAAGAAACATGAAGAAAGGCCACACACGGTACTGAAATATAAACCCCAACTTAACACCTCCTGGCTCCCTCCAATACGATCCTGGCACCCAACCGCGAGCACCACAGAGACAGGGAGGAGAGACAAAGGCAAACTCAGGCTGATAGCATCACCAAGCACCCCCATAAGCCACAAGGCATCAGTGTGCTTTTATTATCCGAAGTCTGGCACTGTGACCAAAGTGTAAGCGACTGCCACAGAGCTCCCACGTGGGGCAACAGGCTGCGAGCCCCACGCTGAGCCACAGTGACACCCAGTGGTGACACAATGCAGTAGCTTATTTTTCATTTGTTTACCAGTGAAAAACGCAATGAAGAGAACAAATCTAAAAAAAGATATCGTGCTATTAAATTAAAAAGCCTTCAAGTGATGGGTAACCAAGTATTACTGAAATGAACATCGGCATTGTGTCATTATTACATATTTCAAAAAGCCAGCGAGAGTTGGCGGCTTCTAATCCAATTGTAAACCCATGTGCCCCTTTCTATCACAATATACAGCACCAGTCAACACTTTCTCATTGAATTGAAAGAGAAATTGTGTTCAAATGTTTGACTGGTATTGTACATAAGACTCCTTCCTGTGTTGGAGCTGAATGGTATTAGACACAGCTGTGTGCTCCCAAATGAGCACACTGGAAACTAATGTATGCAATACAACTTCTTCTTTAGGTTTAGGAAAACTGTTTTGTTTAAGCTAAAAAAACAACAGAATGGCCCTTTCTGATTTAAACAGGATGTCTGTGACAAATAACGTCTCCTGGCTGAACGATCACTGGTTGTTGGATTTGTCCGGGTTCACCCCCTCCCTAATTCCATAGAATATCACCCAAAATGTAATCTCCTCAGGTATAGCTAATAATGATGGATGAAACCAGCCTCAAAATGCACATATAAAAACAAAAATTAAAACAAAAATAGGTAAAGGTTTTAACGAGATACAACTACACTGAGTAGCTTTGCAGGAAGTTTGTCGACTGAGATGAATGTTTAAAACATCGTCATCATTTTGCCCTTCCTTAGGACAGTGGTTCCAAACTTTTTGTATCAGGGTCCCCTTTGTGAATTGTAAGACCCCCCCCAAAAAGAAAAAAATAAATGGGGTTGTTCCTTTTTGGTTTTTAATTAATTGCATTATAATATTAAACAATTTTTTTTATTTATTTATAAAAAAGTACATATATCACTTTACTCCTCCGTGTTTGATTAGATTTTGTAAAGGTATTTCTACATGTAACTTACATTTACTTTTAAATTTAAAAATATTATAAGTTGAAGTTGGCAACAGTGCAAATATTATATATATATAATATATTTTATTTTTTGTCTTTTTGGCTGTCTTTCTGATGCTGTGTGTCTCTCTCTCTTCTCTCCCTCACTCTTTGCCTTTTTGCTGCGCTTGTCTACCTGTAACCTGAGCCACTCTGGGGGTCGCGGTTCAAGCGCAACGGATGTCAAGTCCTCATGTCGGTTTCGCTTTCAGTTTTTTTTTTTTTTTTTTACCATGGCTGTATGTTAGGGTTGGCGATGAGGCTGGAATCCCCCCACCGTGCCGCCCCTGGGTTTAAGAACCACTGCTTTATGGTCAAGTTGCTCTGAGATCTTCACATTGTGCTCGCCATTAAATTACTTAAAAATACTTTTTTGACGTTTTTTTTCCATGAAGAATAGCAGCTGCCGATGGCACCACAAACTGCGTGTCATCTGCACATGGCCCAATCTGCAAAATATATTGCTCTAGCGAGATTACAGAGTGGAGAAAAAGCAAATGTCGACACTTCAGGCCCTGAATGAATACGTGAAACAGCGTTTGGGATTTCGGTCCCAATTTGTCAGTATGAATGTGAATGTGAAGGTGCTAATCATTTCACTGTGGCTATCCAAGCTGATATCTGTGCAGGTACTTTTCATCTGTAGCCCTCCAAAATCTACCACGTCGGCAGGCCGCAAAAGCATAATTGTGAACACTCAACAGAAGAAAGGGTCTGTAAGGTTTAAAGTCTACACCGCTGCTCCCTAAAGCAATCTTGTGAATGCACACCAAGAGAATGAAGTGAAACTTCAGCTCAGGCTCGGCTGTTTTCCCGATACCTGTTTTCACAGGGAGGCATTTGAATAAAAATTGCCGAATAACATTGCCGCTGGCATCTCAAAAACCCTTTGACTAAAATGAAATAAAACAAAGCCAAACTCAATTCAATCTCCATCTGAAAGGGAGTGTGGAAAGGAGGCAGCGAGGCAGAGCAGGACAGACGGGCGGATTGTGAGGGAGAGAGCTATCCAGAGACAGAGAGAGCAACAGAAGGGGGGAGGATTATGGACTTGTGTTTAGTTGGTGAGACGTAGACACAGCAAGGCAAACGGAGAAGAAGCACAGATGAGTCACTGAGCCTGGAGACTCGGTTATTGACGAGCAGAGATGGAGGGACAAAGAGAGGTGAAGAGAAAATGAACATTGAGGGGGAGGTGGTGGAAGGTGGGATTGGGGGAGATTGGATGTGAAAAAAATGAGCTGAAGTCTGCAGATAGAAAGTTAATGCCCAGCTATATAGCTCACTGAGTCTCTAAATAGATGCTTTTATTCGTTATGTTTTTATTGATTATTGTCCATATCTTATTAGAATATGTTACAATTTGCTGCTTTCTCTTTCTCCAACTCTCTAGATTGACTAAACAATCTGTGACTGTTTTAAGTGTGTAGGTCAAAGAAAGGAATGAAATCATTGAGCCGGGTGAGGGAAGGAAAACGATCGGAATATCCTAATTCAAGTCACGCATATGTGAAATAAGATTTGGATATTCTTTCAAATGTGTTTATTGACTTGGTTGCATAGATAGTGGTACCTATACACATTGCACATATATATTAGAATCATAGTAGAATTCACTGTTTAATCAGATCCATGTTTTGCTAAAACAATTGTATGTATCAAAAGCACATTTTGATGTGCATTTGACGGAGACGCCTGCAAAAAAAATATGGGGATGGATGGGGTGAGAGAAAAGGGGGGAGAAAATGAGAGAGAGAGCTGCCATTAGCTGGCCTGCAGTTTGTCTGCCTCTAAGTGCTCTGTAAATATCGCCTTGCCTTAGTAAACAACATTACTGCTCTTTATTGGGCCATATTTTAATGGCCTGATACCCCACAGTATGCAGATTGGTGTCGCTCCATTATGTAAGCTCTCCCTCCCATTATGTAAGCAGTCTCCTCCCCTCCTCCCTTTTTCTCCCTTACTCCTTCGTCACTTTCTCCTTTTTCATCTCCTCTCGGTCATTGCTTGCAGCTTTAAACATCATCATCCTCTGTCTCTGCATCATAGCACATGATTAATTGAATGACTTTGTATTAATATCCTTGCTGAATATTTAGTTTGGGGGTTTTATTTCCAAATTTCCCCATGAAGAATACAGGACCTGATGGATGAATGGTGGTTAAAGGAGGATTGTTCAAAACACTGAAGATTTTTTAATTTCATAAAAATGTTAATTTTAAATAATTTCCCTCACAAAGTAGCCCACTTAATTAAGTATAGAGTGTACCATCTGATTGTCTATAGCTTTTTAAAACATTTGTTTGAAGTATGGTAAGAAATATGCAAATGTATATCCTTTAATGATTCATTATTTCGTTTACTTTTATTCTCAGTCTCACAGTTCTTTGTAGCAGCTGACCACTTACAGATCCTTCGGCTGCCCTGCAGCTTTAAAATGTATTAATTTATGTCAGTTTATCATTTATTTATAATAAATCTGTACACACTTTTCTTGTACAGGGGGAAAACAAAGCACTAACAGCCAAATCGTAATGATTATTAACATAAAGATCTTTTGTTTTTTTCTAGGATGAGTTGTAGTGAAGGAAAGGACTCTGCGGCTCTCCTCCCTGCTACTAGTGAATCTGTTATGGCATTCACTGAACATTGAGGGCCCCCTGTTGGCAAAATTAGAAATTGAAATCTCAACAGTTGGCTAAGAAGTCAATGAGTCATCTGCTCTGAAAAACAACTTTCTAAAACCATGCAGACACTGCAAGGTGCTTTTCTGATTATGGGCAAGGTTAGAGAGGATATTTGCACTCTTTTTTTGGAAGATGTTGCACGTGCGTATAGGTTCAATAACAATAAGCCGATACCGAATGAGCATGCACAAGAACTCTACATGAGCTGAGGAAAAGCTAGTCCACTTCCAAACAAACAGAAATAAGACAATTCCAGTCATGGGATCATGTACTCAGTTAATGTGAAAGGCAGGAACATGAAAGTCACCAATTAATATTAAGGTTTCACAAACCTGACTGTTCATGAAATATGATGCACTATACTCCCTCTCTTTTCTCTTCCCAGTGGGTTTCACGGTCACGTCCTTCTATTGAGCCCCGATGATCAGGTATTCGACCCAGACACACACGCCCAACCCCTCACACCACTTCAGAACCAGATGGGATACAAGGATTGTGTGGGAAGCCGGAGGAGGAAAAGCAGCCTTCCTGACGACAGCAGAAGAGTTCAGCCACCGTTGGATTCGGGTCTGGCTCCGGGCTTTGAACCCGGCTCGGGATCGGTGCTTAACTGAAGCTTGGAACCTTGAATCAGAGGAGTCGGAAGGGAATATGTTCTGGAATCTCTTCTGTTTTTTGAAGGAAGTATCCAATGATCTGATGGGGCTCTTATCGGTCTAGCAGGGATTTTTGGCATTTGACACTTAATGTTGCTCTGGGAACACACTGAAGGGATTTCTGGATTACTGACCATACCCTTTATCACATTCTTCCAGGATCTTTTTGCTTGTGGTTTATTGATGGTTCGGTGGCACCGCACCTCTCTCTCCCCCCAGCGTACAGTCAAATGCCAAAGGGTTTCTTCAGTATCATGAGAGCATCACAAGAGAAATGGGAGAATATGCAGACTCCCAAAAGCACACCTCTCTATTATCAAAGAGAATATTAATGTTGGGCCTTGGATTAAAAATACAAGCACATTGTCAAGTGTCTTGTCTCAAACCATCAACAACAAACTGTCAAACTACCGAATTTCTCTGGCACTTTAAACATATGTCTTCACGTACTCTCTCTATCTCGTTTTCATAAACAACTGAAAAGTATACTCTCCAGTATTACCAATCTAACTCTTCTGGCTCCGAATGACTTAAGTGTCAAAATAATCAGTGTGTTTGCGTCCATGGGGGACTGGTTCTCTCTCTGTTTGAGTATTAAAAAAGAAAACCTTAGTGTCCCGAGAAAGGAGCCACCAGGATCTCCCAAGCCAAGCTTGAAGCAATGATTTCTGGCTCTGCGTTTGACACTGGAAAGAAACTGTACCTGTAAGAAACACTGGCGCTTGAGTTAAATGTATTAAGCGGTTTTAAAAGATGGACCAGCAGAACTTACACTGTCCCGTCCACTCCCTCCCCCCTTTGCTCCCCTTTGCAGTTTGACAGTGTCTGTGTTTGTATGTGACATACACCTTACAGTCTTCGATGGTTTGATACCCATGATTTACTTTGAATATTACGAAACAAATGACCACAATAAGGAGAAAAAAACCACAGCAACATGCAAGATGGGGATTTTATGCTTTCATAGATACTATTATGTGGATTTATAATGAAATAAAAAGGTATTTTTCTTGGAAAAAAGTCTATAAGTCTGTGTTATTCAGATTTAAACCAAGCCGTCCTTGTCTTTGGCCAATTCCCTTTATTTATTTGGTGACTAGTATTCAAAACAAACATCCAGTGGTCCAGTGGTGGGAAAATTAGAGGCAAAGTAGTTTTTCTCACAACAGGATATTTGTTTTACACTATCATGTTGATTGTTTCTTAAAGAAAATTCCTCGTACCTTCTTGAGAATAACACACTGAAAAACTGATTGCGACGTTACGAGGTGTGCTTAATTGGTGAGTTTCATTTTTTTTTCCGAAAAATTGGAATATTACCATGCGAAAAAAAGAGAACAGGGTTGATGTTTCTGACCTTTAGATTTGGATAAAAAACCCACTACATGAAAAACAAACGTCATACACAGGCAAATTATTTTGTGTCTTAATTTTGTACCTCAATAAAGCTCCAAATTAGTTATGCATATCTGCGTATCATCATCATCCCTCTTTCAAATGTGGATGTCAGCATGTCGGGAATAAGAAAAGCTCATGTTCCGATTTGACACATTAGTTATGAGCTTTTAATTAGTCCTTTGGTGATATCTGAGTCCTTGTGCCTTAGAATATATTCTGAATATCACTTGTTTGTCACTAAGAGTGTTAAATATATCTCATGCATATATACATGTTTTTTGTTTAAACAGACTTCTATTTATTTTACCATAAAAAAAAAACTAGACGGCCTGTCATTACGCAAGGCTCTTTCTACACGGCCGATTATGGTGATTGACACCTCATTGGAATTGTTATGCTATAGATTTGAGCCATTTCCCTGAGATTGACGACACTGTTAGCCAACCAGGATCAGCAGATTGTCTTCATGGGGATTGTCAGGCTGGCAAACGCGTAACCTCTGAACCTTCCAACAGAGAACAAAAGCCTTGGAAGCCCCAAGAGTGCTCATACTAACAGGAAGTTACAGTCCCATATTAGTGTTGTTTGGCTGCTAGCAAACACTTTCATGGAAAACTGCTAAGTTAAGGGACATTTTCCAACTATCTTTTGACAAAATGATTTCTCTTGTTGATTTGTACTTTGGCTCTGGTACTTATTTACAGAATATGGTGGTGCAATGAGGTATTACACTGGATGGTGCGTTCAGTGTAACTTGGATTTCGAAAGTCTCTCGGTCAATATAAGTGGTGCTATCAAGTATTACATGCATTTCAGTTGACTATATTACATTGAATACAATCATAGCTGTCTATTGGTATTATTCTATTGATACAGTTAGTATTACACTATTCTCATTTTTTATTGATTATCTTTCAGAATCATAACTCAGCAGAATATATAGAATAATAAAGTCACATTCTCCTCCCATGATCATTTTTATCATCAATCACAATTAGTGACAAATTGTACAGTGCATCCATATTCCAGGTGACTTTTGCACAGATGGGGGGAAAGGGGTGAAGGGAGTAACAGTGGCAATACACATACTGCAAACGTAACTGTACAGTTGACCTCAGAATCCCTGAAGGTTGTTTTATACTAAATAAAAACCTGACAGGAAAGAGACCAATGAGACACTTGGAGTCATTTAATATGAAATATCTATGAGACAATTAAGGGAAAAAAAGATATAATGATAAAAGTACAATTGTACATTGTTATGAATTGATCTTGCCTCCTATTATATTATTTTTAAGGTGTATTTATATTTCATTCATATTCTTTATCCTTTGCATTACTCCACCACTGAGGATAACTGTGCCCTTATCTCACCTGACAGACTAGAGGGTCAGACTGACTGAGATATTAAAAGGTGACCTCAGATGGACGCTCTCTGGTTTGAACGTTGGGTGAGAGCTGAGCTTCTTCCTCTTGGCTTACCAAGTTGTCACCACCACCGAGGTAATCCAGCTCCAAGTTGTCTGTGTCCTCTGGGTTTGGCATCTTTGCTTGCCTTGCCTGGAGAGTAGAAAAGAAAGGAGAGGTCTATGAGTTAGTTAATAAACATTAACATGAATCCAACATATTGTAGCAATCAAATACATTGATGGAGAAGACGTTATCTTTCAGTCCGCAATTCACACAGTCAGCTTCCCACAGCAGCTCTCCTAAGCCGGGCACCGGTTCACTGACAGCACCTTTCATGCTGATGCGACAGCGCAGGCACCAGCCAATCAGATCGCGTTTATGCTCACGTCTAAAGAGCGCGAAGCTCAAAAATAAAAGATGGCGGACCAAACTCTGTAGAATAGAATAGGTTGCTCTCGCCATTAGTTTGGGGGACCTTGGCCTAATCTAAACAGTTCTATTAGTTTATGCCGTGAGCTTGGTGATCTCAAATTCAAAGCATGTAGCTACCATATATTTTCACAAGCTGATAAAAACATTAAGGAAGGCTGACATTACCAATACCACGAATGGTAACTTTAGTACGTTTATATACTTTAATCATAAAAAAATTGGGAGCGCTCATTTTATCATGACAACAACATAGTAACTATTTTCTGTTTCTTTGTGGTCGCTCTGTTTGTTCTTACTCTCATATCAGTGAGAAACTGCATTTCTGCCACAGACTATTCTGCTGATGTTTCAAATTAACAGCTTAATAGGAGAGAGACAGGTGAGCTACTGGAAAGCTTTGGATATGAAACCTCAGTGTTTAGGTTGCTGAAAAAGATGTACTTTTTATTTTCCCTGCAGTATGAAATTAATATCAAACTGTGATCCCGGAGTAAACTGAACACTTGTATTTTTGGATATCACATTTCTATCCCACTGCCTCTGATTTGGCACAGATATGGCACAGCACTGGACGCTACAAACAGCACCACAACGAATAGTCTGATGAGCAGATGAGCTACAGAGGCTGAAACAGAAACACAATGATGACATCAGTTCACACAGGAGCTGAAGCTGCTTTATTGGAGTCATGTTCAGCTTTTAGCCCTGGTATTGTTGTAAAATAGACAGTGTGCAGCAGTTCTTCAACAGTGTTAACCTTAAGGATTCTCCTCCAAACACTATCTATCTAGTGTGCACATGTTTTTCTTTAACATTGTATGATATGTATTTTTAACTAATGAAACGTCCACATTGAAATCTATTGAGCATTGATGGCAACATGACAAGTTTTTTAAAAAGTAACCACTGCTGGAAGTTTTGCCCTTAAATGCTGCAATCACTTTTCCTCATCCCTGTCTAGCAATATGTGAACGTGTTTGATCCAGAGCAGGTGGCAGGCTCAGCTCTGGCTGGAGGACCAGAGACACGTCCACTTGTGCTGCAGCTCACACGCCATGGAGAGTGCGAGTTATTAGCCGTGGTACTGAAGAGTGAAGGGGAAAGGCAGCATGTGAAGTGAGTTACATGCTGTTTAATGGGCTGCAGCTGAGCAGCTCATGACATGTCTTTCTGGAAATATAATCTTAGCAGTGCACTTTGGATCACATGTTTGTAAGTGAAGCAAGAAAGCTTTTGTGGCTCTTGTTCAGAGTCTCTGGCTCATGTACTTTGCAGCTGCTGTGTGTCACATATGGCTTATTTGATTCTATAGAAACAACTTCTATATCAACTTATGAATTTACAATACAAAGGGTGCTCCATCACCGAATTACAAAATCTAATTGCATATAGTTACATATTGACATAGTTGAAACAAAGCAAATATTGCACAACAAACAGCAATTGCAGATCCTTCATCACGTACCTGAGAAAGTGAGACGGAGCGGCTGGCTCTCAGATGACAAGTTATGGGAGAACACATGGAGGTGATAAACACAGCGGTACTCCCCTTGGTGGGTGGGGTCAGCAGCAGTAAACTGGAAGTGGGCAGAGTGATTGACAGCAGCCAGGGTGAAGCTTTCCAATGCAGCAGATGTTTTCCAAATAAGCTGGAAGGAGCCTCCTGGCTGCTGCGGCAGGATGGAGCAGCTGATGGTGTACTCGGAGCCAATGAGAACCTCAAATCCCTTCTGCATGGCGTTGGATACCCCGTCAGTGTGGGTGGCCAAGGAGATGTTTGGCTGAACCAGAAAATCTGGAGACAAATAAATGAAAGGATATTATCCCATGTTTTTATGTTCAAGTGAAAACAATGTGGACACCCATTTCTCACCAACTTTTCACCCTCAAAGAATGTCCACCTACTGGAATTAAATAGTATAACATGTCATAACGGGTATCATGCATTTAGGGTTTTGAGGGTCACCCTAATTAGCGGTTTAATTAGCTGCATCTCAAACATATTAAGTATCTTTTTGCTTCAATGCTGCGGAGCTATTTGGAGAAACTGGAGTGAGCAGCCAGCGCTGTGACGTAAGTCTACAGGTATTGATAACATTACTGTCGACTAATCTTTAGCAAACATAAATGTCGTTGTGAATTAAGAATTAAACAATTTTGTGCAATGCAACTAAAAGACATGGAAGTATATTTAAAACTGTAGTTTTTTTTGCTCCTAAATCATACAGGACGTAAGAAAACCCCTAAACAACACATTACTATATAATACACAAGTGGAATCTAGATCAGCCTGGAATGCTTGTTAATATATTCATTCATTTATGCTTTAACCAACTGTTTAAACTAGGTTTCTTTTAACCTAGATTGTGACTTTACCTTCATGAGATTTTATGTTTGTTGTTTATTATTGTTATTGAGGGGGGGTGGGGTACCTCGCTAAACCCTAATCCTGCTAATCCTGCTAATCCAGACCACTGGTTTGTCAGTTATTGTGTCTTTCTGAAATCTCGTGAAAGGTGATTGATTCCTGTTTAAATTGCAGCCATTTGTAGTGTTACCTGAGCAGGTGACCTCCAGATTGGCATAGGAAGAGCCAGGCTGTATGAATGAACACTCCCTGAGCATGGAATCATGCTCACAGGATAGTTGGACATGCCATGCATTTAGTTGGGACATTTCTTTTGTTTCAATTGAAAGGACAGCGCCACAGGCCAACTGTCCACACACTAGAGAAGCAGACTCCAAGTCCCACTGATTCTCGTCCACCGGCCTCCATTCTCCCTCGTGCTTCATCTCAAGTCTACCAATACAGCGGTGGGATCCGTCAACCAATCTGATTTCATCAGGTTCTGTTCGGAAAGACGAACGTTATTAAACAAGAGGGAAAGTGGCTGGCTTAGAATTAAGTTTAACCAAAATCCAACTGCAGCTCCTCTACCTGAGCAGGTGAGTCCAACAGCGTTGCCAGGTGAGCAGGTGCTACCAGCCGAGCTTCCACAGCCCAGGAGAGCAGACTCGTTGCCTCCACACCGGAACTCCTTGGTCCACATTGGAGTCTTACCGTCTCCATAGAGCGCCCCCTGGAGGAAGGAAGGGGCCCCACAGCCAAGCTCCCTACAGACCACCTCTGCATCTTGCTGGTCAAAGTCCTTGTCACACACAGAGGACCACGACTGATTGGACTGGTCAGACTGGTCAGACTTCACCTCCAGTCTGCCTGAACAGAGACTGGTCCCATTCACCAACCTGACGGATTCTTAAGAAAGACCAAGATACTGTAGCTTGAATGCTACCTAGTTTGTACATTTCTTTGGATAAAATGTGTAGAATGTAAATGTAAGCAAACGAATGCAGAAATTATCAAAGTAGCTAAAGTACACAATTTGGTGTGTTTTGTTACCTGAGCAATTTATCTCCATGAATGAAAGCACCCGATACGCCGACGATAAACACTCCCTAACTGCGGAGTTGGGCTGTAAACAAGCTGATCCAAAGATCCACATGTATTCCTTAATGCCTATTTTCTTCTTCCTTGTTGAAACAGCAGAGCCGCAGTCCAGTTTTCCACACAATATGTCTGTCTTCTTCAGATTCCACTGCGTTACATCGTGCACTTTTCTCCATTCTCCCTGTGTTTTCATCTCTAAGTCCCCAGCACAGCGACTGGATCCTCCCACCAACCTGACGGCATTGGGCTCTGAGCGAATAGAAGTAATAGTTAGAAATAGATGACGTCACATTTTCAGACCCAGATTATGCATGTTGGCAACACATGGCGTTTGGCTAAAACTTTTTAGATGGGTCAAAAGATTTAATCATTATTTTGTATGGTTGCCTATGAAAATCAATATGCCAACAGCAGGACTATGGTTTTACAGAATTCAGAGACAATCAAAACCGTTTGGGTTTTGGTGTCTAACAAGTAAATTGGTGACTTTCTCCATAATGCATCTTCTGTTTGTGTTTTTATCAGCCGTCATCACTACCGGTAACCACGGAAACATCTGTGGAGATGCACCAGTTAACACAGCTACTCATCAAACCCATACGAGGGCAGCAGTGATGTCTGAAAGCTATTCATCGTTTATTACCGCTGGATTGATAAAAAATGCTCACGCCTCGCAAGGGTCTATTAAAATAAAAACTCATATCAAAGCTACAGCTCCCTTGCCTGAGCAGGTGAGTCCAACAGCTTTGCCAGAAGAGCAGGTGCTACTGGCTGAGCTGTCGCCGTCTCCATAGAGCGCCCCCTGGAGGACAGAAGGGGCCCCACAGCCAAGATCCCTACAGACCACCTCTGCATCCTGCTGGTCAAAGTCATCTTCACACACTGAGGACCACGAACGGTTGGACTGGTCAGACTTACGCTCTAGTCTGCCTGAACAGAGACTGGTCCCATTCACCAGTCTGACCGAGTCTAATGAAGACAAAAACATGCAGTCAGAGTATTTGTTTTTAGAAGTATGGAGGATGTGAAGTTATGATCCTCCAGCAACAAACCTACCTCTGAGCTTTCAGTGAATGTGTGTGTTTGGGTTGTGGCTGCTGGTGTGGTTACCTGAGCACTCGATTGTTGGAAGGGATAAAAGATCCATGTGCCTCTTCAGGAAAGGGAGGAATGACGAAATCTGAAGAGCCGAACCACAGTCCAGATTTTTACAAATCATGGCTGCAAATTGAAGGTCCCAATTGTAGTCATCAACTTTCCTCCGATCTTCATAGCGTAGCTGACCATTACAGCGACTGGATCCTCCCGACAAACTCACATCAGTCATCTCTGGATAAAATTAAAATAGTAATTAGTTGAATTATATCATGTATAATTGTCTTTTGTATATGTCTATCTGTATACCTTCAAAATTATCTCTTTTTTCTGTTTGGAGACCTGGGAGGACTCCTAAAGGGAAAGCAATGACAAGAAAAAAAGAAATCAAAGGGTGATCACAGGTCGGCAAGAAAAGTCGCTGTGAAAGCATTAATTCAAAGTTTATTATGGAGGAATTATGACACAAACAAGCCATTAACACTTTGAGAGCTTACAAATTCATGGTTGACTCTTCATTCTCAAAGTACTGTATTCTTTTATCGGGGGCCAAATGTCTTTTTTTGTGCTTTCTTACAACAATATCCAACAACCCCAATATATTCAATTAAACAAAAAGTAAGTAATTACCTCTGTTTTTACTCCTTTAAAAGAAAACCATGTGGACTCACAGGTTTGTGGTATCGTATTTGAGGTTGTAAGAGTCCTGGTGACTCGTTTAAAGGCACAGTGTCTGAATACGGGCGGTGTGCATTTCTCCTTGGAGTTTTAATACTTCACAGTATTTATACAGCACCTTTAAATTGCTTTATATAAATAAATAGAAGATATGCTACTACTTTAACGCATGTGTTGTGTACATTTCATAGACCAAAACCAGCATTTGCATGCAGTTATAAAGTCATGGTAAGCAAAAGCCAAACAAAGCAACATCTCAATTACAATACAGTAACTATTCCAATCACCGCCATAGCCTGAGATTAGAGGTTATTGAGGTCCACAATTTGGAGGTGAGATGATTCTTTGAAATTGACATCACTGATTGTCATCAGTTGATCTCACTATGCCAAATGCATAAAAAGGTACATAAACACAGCACAGCTCCTCTCAGCTTTCTGTGTCTCAAATAAGGGTCTTTAAAGAAGAGTCCTACCTGAGCTCCAGAGGAACAGGAACACAACCAGCACTCTCTGGTCCATGTCCCACTCTGTGTGTCGGTCACTGGCTCCCCTCCCTGCTCTCTGTCTTTTTATAGTTCAACCCCATTTTTTTTTTTTGCTAATTCCCAGTCAGAATTTTTTTTTTATGTTAGACTTTTAACAAGATCTTTAACTGGACACGATTCATGACGAGCACAGATGCGCATACAGATGTTGAATAATACATTTTATTATCCTGTCAATTTTTTTTGAAAAAGATTAAACTTTTTTACTTCTAGATAGGTAATTTCTCAAGTTCAAAAAGGTATCAATGATCATGATCTTGACACTTTCTTCAACGATACTGACGTTTGCTAAAGTTCTGATGGAAATCATATGAAAATTTAATAATTGTGCTCACTGTATTTTTTGAAGAAATCAGATTAGTTTGTAAAACTGCTGACCATGCATAAACTGCAGGGCACTACACATTTTGTCTGATGCTTTATTAGTGGAAGCTGACCACCAAATCCGGTGAAGTATTTGTTTCTTAATGTAATCAGTGCCATAAGATCAATAAGCCTGTTTACCTGCAAGGTCTTTGACTTGAAGGGAAGAAAGGCAGCTTTGGCAAGAATCATTTTCTCAGTAATTCTCAGTATTTCTCAGGGGTCCGTTTCAAGAAGCGGATTTAGTGAATACGGAGTTTGTTAAACTGAAGCCTATTGAAACTCAACAGTTACATTATTACATTGCATGTCATTTAGCTGCCGCTTTTATCCAAAGTGACAAGTGACAATTTGTCATTTTTCCTTGTGTACTACGTTTTCGTTTGATATTTCACAAATACATATCAAAACACAGACTTTACCCAAAGAAAGTTTTGTTTGTGTCCACATTGAAAAAAGTACTGAAACAAAGTAGTTTCGTCACATTTTTTTTTCTTTTGTTTCTAATTCAAATGTTACCCACTTTTCAAAGAGTTCAAAACTCTTATAAAAATGATGATGAGTGTCGTTTACTTGAATGTGAACATCATTTTGTAGATGTGGTTATCTGCTGATCAACCCCATGTACATCTGATCTGCAGTTTCCTGTCCATCTTTTAATCTGCTCATGAGGCCTTGTGTGTTATCTCTCTTTGCAGGAAGCTTTTCACTGACTCTGGTGGATATATACTTTAAATTGCTCAACTTCAAATCATGCCTGTCTTGTCTGTTTATTTAACTTTTCTTTCATTCATTTCATTCATTTTCTGGAGGCAAGATCTCCAGAATCCCCGTTTTTGGATCATTCTGTGTTATACTGTGCCCTTTGCATTTTGTTATGTGCCAAACTGTTTATTTTCCATGAGAAGATTTGGGGGGTAGAAAATTAAGATTTAATTGTGGATTGGTAGAAAGAGCTTTTAGCAGCAGAGATATAAGCAGAAAACGAGGAGAGAAGAGATTGAAACACAAGCAGGTCATCAGGTCGTTTATATTTACGCCATCTCCTTTCCGATGCTCGCATGGTGCCTCTCATGGCACGCACCGGTTGAGACGGATTTTCCAGTCCGTCGTGTCGTAAGAGGGCAGAGAGAGTCTAGAGAGGAGGAAAGAGTTGAGAGGAGAGTCTCAGCAGCAGCGTTCGGATGCAAGAGTGAGAAGGAGTCGGTGGAAGGGAGAGCTGATAGAACAGAGGATGCTAGGGAGGAGGGAGAGAGGGAGCGAATGTTGCGACGAACAGGTACGGAGTCAGTCAATGGGGCAGGGTCGTTAGTTATTGTGAGTGGGAGAGAGTAAGAAGTGGTCAGACACATGAAGTGGAGTTACAGAGAGGTTAGTGGTAGAGCAGTTTCTAGTGAAGATGTAGTCAAGGTGATTGTCGGCTTTGTGAGTAGGAGGAGAGGGACTGAGTGACAGAGCGAAAGAAGAAAGTAGGTGTACGAGGTCAGATGACTTCTCTGTCTGGATGTTGAAGTCACCCAGGAGGACCATTTTCAGGGAAATTGAACAGGAGAATGTCCAGTTCTTCCAAGAAATGACCCAAGGAGCCTGGCGGGTGGTAAAGGAAAACTATATTTAATTGTACAGGGTGAGTAACTGTTACAGCGTGGAATTCAACAGACAGTGAGGTGGACGGTGGAAGAGGGTAGAGAGAAAAGCTCCATTTGGGTGAAATGAGTAGACCTGTGCCACCACTCCTGCCAGTGGGCCTGGGTGTGTGGCTGAAGGAGAAGGCGGAGGAGCGAGCGGCTGGGGTGGATGTGTTCTCAGGTGTGATCCAGGTCTCGGTGAGAGTGAGGAAGTCAAGCGACTGCTGGATAGCAACGCCTGAGAGTCGCTGACTGCCAGTTCTAGAGGCCTCCTGTGACGAGGTGCTGGACATGTGTGGAGCGGGTGGGATAGGTGAGAGGAGAGGTTACGATAGAGAGCAGATCTAGCCCGAGGCCTGTAGTATCTGCGGGAAGAGATTCAAACAGGCACGGGTAAAGGGGTCAAACAAATTATTAAAACTAGCAGAAGAAGGCGCCGCATTCAGCCACCCTGAAGACTCCACGAAAGACCCCCTAGTCTATGTCCTGCTCGTCTTGACTCCCACGAAAGACTCCCTCGTCTTTGTCCAGCTCGTCTTCGTGCTGCGAGGCTATGCAAATGCTGAAGCGAACACTTCAGCTCAACTCCTAGTTAAGTACTCCTTCGTTAGTGGAAGTCGGCTACGGCTGCGCTGACGACTCCCCCGTCGTTTAGCAGACAAAAGGTCGATTGGCCTCGGCAGAAACTCCTCAAAATGCAAAACAACAATCGCCTGACACCCTAATCAGTGAACAATCACCATGTGGTGTTTTAACAAACAGGGTTTAAGGTTTCAATGTATGGTTATGGCTGTGTATGGTTAATTGTAATTTAAATGTGATTTGATCTGCCTCTGAGCCTTTGCATGTGCCCTAGCCATCATTATTGCTGTTTAAAAGTGACATAACTGGAATTTATTGAAACGTTGTTGCAGTGTTTCAGGGCATTTTAGTTTGTTTGTTCCGATTCTGCAAGATTCAACAGCCATCTAATTATTAGATAACAATACCACAAATGAGCAGACTGTTCTTTCATTGGTCCAATTTTATTGCATTTTTGAATGGCTGTTTCTTTTTCTTTCTTTCTTTTTTAATTGACGAAGGGCTAAGCCCAATTGAATGTATTTTAGGACTGGAATTAAATGTCACTCATTTACTGTAATCAGTGATTGTCTAAACTGCTTCTTATGGTACGTTCACTCCAAACGCACCGCAGGACTCTCAGAGTACACTTGTGGTCAATTTGCGTGTATCGTGTATTCGTGCCCAACGCAACGGAGAGGCGCGTGGCTTATCACCCTGAAACAGTTCAACTTTCCACCATTGTTTTTCCTCCGCATCAACCCTGGAAGACATAGCGACTCTGTACGTCTTGTGTTAGTCCTACTCATGTCGTGTTTTTGTACTAAATAGCATCCGTAGGCGCAGACAGCTCGGTGAATTTCACCGACTTCAGGAACTGCGTCTGGATGACTGCCGCTTCCAGCGGTACATGATGCTAGCCGTTAGCTCGGCTTGGGCACCTGACCCCACTTCCGTCGCATCACACTTCCATGCCGAGGGAACTGTCCCATGACGAGACACCGTATGCTCAAGCACATCCAAATGGCTCTCTTAAGAGTCACACACACGTTATCATTGAGCAAATGTGAGTGTGTTGTTAACAATACAATTACCCTACACTTCATTGTACTATATTTATTGCAGTGATGAGATCCTGTAAAAAGGCACATATGGTTGTATTCTGTTTGGTCCGGGAAAGACATCACACTTTTAACAATCGCAATAAAGGTACGAGGATGTATCGTACCCCTCGGGATACCGGTGTCTGCAAGGTGTCCGTGACGACGGGGAGCCTATCGGCGCTGATAGGCTATCGCGCCGCAGCGTCATGGCGTTTTGTTGCCAAAGATGGAATATTTCAACTTTCGTGTTTGCTGTGTTTGACCTCAATCGCGTCCCTCCAGGGTCATTGGTCTGTGTGTGGCGTAATGGTTTCTTGTCCTGTTAGCAACGCCAAGTGTGGCGTAATGGTTTCTTATCCTGCCGACATCGCCACTTGGGATAGGCCCAAGACCTATTAAAGCACACAGGTTCGTTCCACTCAGTAGGCAAGGGCTCGTGCACACGAGGAAGACCACCACCACCCACACCACCACCAGCCTACAGCCGCTAGGAAGGATAACCAAAAAAAGAAGGTTACAAGAGAATTAAACCAAAAATGTACAACACGAAACAAAAAAAGAAAATAATTCACATTAAAATCGTCCTAATCAAACAATTCACGTAACCCAAACAAGAAAATAAGGGAAACAAACCAAAAGAAATACAAACCAAAGGATTAACTACTCAGTTAGTCAGCTACAATCAAAGAACTACAGAGGTCCAAGTCTGGTGCCGGCAATAGACACGCTAGGTACGTCGCGGCGGAGACCAAACTGTGCACTTAGCAGCATTTAACAGTGCAGACAGTTACCGACAAGATTACATGTAGCAGCAGACTAAGTTGTCAAAGCAGCAGTCAAAGCAGTCAAAGCAGCAGGCAAAGCAGCAGTCAAAGCAGCAGTGGCCCCAATCAACTGATGGTGCTGTCACATCAATCACCACCTATGGATTTCGGCCAGCTGATGAGCATTCCCTGTCAATGAACATTGAGTTAGCATTGCCAAGCTACATGTCAAAGCTTTTTGGAAGCTAGTTTTAAAGTCACGTACCTGTTTCCCAGGTCGAACCTGCACAGGGAGAGGGAGGGAGAGAAAGACCCACACGGCAGGAAGATATCTACCTGTGATCACACTAACATTAGCTACAGAATATTGTTCGGTCTAGTGCGGAGAGAGAGAACACTTACCACCGGTTGAGAGGACCAAAGAGCAAACAGGAGCACGGAGCACTCTGTCGCCACTCTGCGCCGACAGACACCTGACCCGGAAATGATGCATCAGTGGGGCGCGAGAAGGGGGGCAGCCTTTATATACTACCGCCGCCCTAGTGGTCGGCAGGCACAGTTAAC